ATTCTCATTAGGGTCCCTACTGTAGCTCTATATATACAGCATTAGGCTCATGGAAGAGTAAGACACAATCCCACAACCTTGGGAAACACGTCCAGCCCTCTCTCTCTCTCTCTCTTCCAAGGAGTTGTTCTATTTCTTGTGCTCCACTGATACAAGATCTAGATAGCTGTTTGAGAATACAGTAGAAGATCTTAAGGTATATACGGGATTCCAATCAGATCTATCATACATCCAAACCGGAGACCAAAACCAGCAAGTGACTATACCACGACGACCAGGACAACGAGTCGAAGAGATCGCCACCATCCGCCGCCGCACGCGCCGTCATGCGCCGCCTGAAGATCCCAGCTGCTGGAACTTACACGCGCACGTGAGAGCGCGTGAACCCTCCGATTCCGATCGGTCAACGCTGTTGACTTCGCCGTGACGCCAGCTTTCTGGATTGGTCAAGTTCGTTCGATTCCGAGAAGATTTGATTTGCGGTCATCTATTCGGGCCAGCCAGATCTATATAAATTTTAAGCCGTAAGTTTTCTACATCAAACCTTTAGATCCGTTGCGCATAGCTTTATGTTGAATGTTTGTCCGTGATTTGTGCATATCGAGATCCTCATGGGTTCCAACAATTGGTATCAGAGATGAGGTTAATTCGTTATGTACAAAGATCCGGATTAAATGGCTTTTATTGTCTATGTGTGCTCAAGCGCAGCCATATATATTGGATTATTTGCATAACTTGGTTTTGCAGGAAGTAGTTAATCCACTATTATGATCCCCATTTTATGTTCTTGTGCTTAATTGATGGTTGGTTGTATGATTTTAAATTTGTTTTTAAAGCCTCGGGATTGTCAAGGAATTATGGATGAATGCTTGTATTAATTGCCCGGGAGTGGACCGGATAGTTTAATTTATTAATAGAAGACATGTACATCCACTCGCTGGATCTAGGAATCGATCTATGTAATTTTGTTAATTATATTTTTCGAATTGTGATCGACCGTTGGAGACCGGGCCTTCACAAAGATCCAAAGAGCCTCGACGGACAAAGCAAGGAAGAAACCGGAGCCGAGAGCCTAGGTTGGCCAGCGCGACCGCGGCTGGCAGCTTGGGCTGCCGGGGCCGCGGCGGGTGCGCAAGGCTCGAGCCAGGTGGCTCAGACCGGCTCGCATTTTATTAAAAACAAAAAAAAATATGTTGACCACCGGGGTGGCGGCCGGCGGCCGCCGGGACGACCGAAGGTGGAGGTTTTGTGGAACTTGCAGTACAAGTCAACCGGGATTCTACTGCAGTGGGA